CTTTAAATGATCAGTCCAGGAGATGGTGCTGATGGACAACAGTATTAGTTCAAAGAGGATAAAAGCAGGTAAAATAGTTTAAAACTATCGTTTCAAACCTGTCCAAATGTGACTGTTTACACGCATCAGCTGCCGACCGGAAGTTCTTCGCATTCTCCTTGCGCATACACGCAAAGCATAATGGGTAATTTTGCGTTCCAAGAAAAAGGTCTATACAAGACATAAAAAAAAAAACCCACTAGGATTGAATTTTGCCGTTTTTAAAGCAAGTTTGATCTGATGTTGCAATGCTGTTTCTATCAGTATTCTACTAAACAATATTGATTCTTATGTCTTTTTTTTATCTATTGTTGACTGTTGAAATAACATTATTCGAAAACAACAGCCTTGTTAAGTCAAAATAGTAAACTTTTATTTTTTTCAAGTGTAAATAAGATTTCAAATCCCATACTTTTGATGTATTCTCAGAATATCATATTTATGCTTCACTAAGCCTCTGAGAAACATTTCTGCTTGTCGAATTGCAGGATAAGATTCAGCATCCATTGTCATTCTCCTGCCTTGCGTAATCGCAAATGTCCATGAGATGGTCTGCCCATTTCGTTTTCTACCAGGTGCTTATATTGTCATTTTAATCAAGAGAGTGAAGGTCAGAAACTTCAGCACATCTGCCCTGAATTTCAATATCTGTCTGCTGTTGATTGGGGTTAAAAATAGAAGCCATTACGTGCACCTGACACAGGGGGAAATTGAATTCTGTCACTAACTCTTTACAGCCAACATGGATGAACATTGATGGATCCAGTCTGATGCAACGATGCCACCACAAGTGAAGCATGAATACAGACGTCTGAGACCACTTTGACAATACAGGATTTAAAAAAGGTTGGTGAAAAGTAACGAAGCAACAGTTAATTTCTATAAAACGTGGTATCACTGCAGCCATGATGGAAGCAGTCTCGAAATAGTAAATACGATTTCATATTTCCCATGCTGATAATACATGAGTCATCACCAAAAGACAGTATTAGATATGTAGACCTTATTAACCATTCTTTTAAAGGGACAATTCACTCATAAACTTGTATTTAGATACAACTTCTTCACCCTTCATATGTTTCAAATCTGTTTGAATTTCTTTTTCCGGTTGAACACAAAAGAAAATACTTTGAAAAATGTTAGAAACCAGGAGCCATTTTTCCTTGCAGAAAAAAAAAAATACTTATGTATATATATATAATATATACTTATGGCTACTAGTTTTAACTATTCGTCAAAATGTGTGTGTGTGTGTGTGTGTGTGTGTGTGTGTGTGTGTGTGTGTATGCGTGCGTGCGTGTGTTCGTGCACTGAAAAAAATTATTTGATCAATCACTCATGACAGCATGATTTTTAGTTATTGTAACTTTTTTTAACTCATAAAGTTATCATGTTGAAACTTAATTTTATAAATTACACAAGCTATTTTAGGTCATTTTTGAATTATGTAAGATCAATTGACTCATAAGGTTAATTTGATTCAGCTTAAAAATTTTATGCAACAAGGATTTATTTTTTATTTAATTTTGTTTTTTGAAGTGTGTGTGTGTGTGTGTGTGTGTGTGTGTGTGTGTGTGTGTGTGTGTGTGTGTGTGTGTGTGTGTGTGTGTGTGTGTGTGTGTGTGTGTGTTTGTTGTTCCAGTCGAACAAAACTGTCTTTTGAATTAATACATTTTCATTACTTGTTCCAAACATGTTTGATTTTTTTTTTTTTCCTTTGGAAAAAAAAAAGATATTTTGAAAAATGTTGAAAACCAGTAGCCTCTGACGTCCATGGTACAAAAAGAAAATACTATGACTTAAGGCTCCTAGTTTTCAACATTGTTCAAAATATATAATTTAGTGTGCTGTTTTTGTGTTCTGGAAGTAAAAATAAAAGGTTTTAGGAGAAAAGAATTACCTATGCATTGAATTTACTTAATTTTCTAGCATTAACGAATTATAATGAAAGTAAAATATTGACTTAAACTCCTTTTCATGTACATAATGATTACAAGGGCATAGAAATGCACAGTTCCTTGAACAATACTATCTTATGAATTAATACATTTACTAGCCTCAAATAGCCTTAGCTGATATTAGTGTTATGCCACTCAATGGCATATTTTTTTTTTAAATAAAATTCTTAAAAGGCTTGTGTAAAAAAGCTGAAATATTTTATGTTGCTTTAGTAAATGTATTTGTATCTTCAGCTATGTTGCGATGATGCAAGTGTTCTGAAGCTCCCGCCGCTGAAATCCTATGACAAATCAATCTGATTTAAACCGATGCAGTCATAAAAGCTGTGTTAAAGAACCCTGTTGCTCTTGAAACTGGGAAATAACAGTCACCGAGAGAGCTTTAGATGTATACGACAAATGGCAGAGCATCTGTCTGCAGCCGCGTGCATGTAAACAGTCGCTAACAGTCTCTAATTACTGATGTTGTGTGTGAGAGTGAGTAATTCATTAAAGAGTCTCTCAGAGAACTGTTTCCTTCACAGTTCATTTCATTTAAAGTTGACTGAAACAAAGGCTGAGATCCCTGCCTTTAAACTTTTTTTTTTTAAATTAAAAGTTAGTCCACATTATTATATTTTTTTGGCACTGCTCACTTGGAGAAAAAATATATATATAAATAGTAACTTAGTACAAAATAACTCTAGGACTCTTTGGAACACTGCATAATTATCACTTTGATTTTTATATAGTTTTCAGGATGACAATTTACTTGAAGATGGTGTTCATAACACTGTCATGACACATTTATAATCATAACATGACACATGAGATTTTAAAGCATGCTTATGTCATTAGGTGCCTTATACCGAGTTATGTCATTTTAAACACAAAGATGACATTGAGTAAAGAAAGAATAAAGATATGACTTTGTTATGACAACTTCACATAAACAGTTACATCATAACCTGTCTTTGTGATGACAATTTGACCCTAACAAAACAACAAAACCTGTCAGTGTCTTTGTCAATTTTATGACATTTATTTTTTATAAAATTGTCGTTAATATGGTTCTTGACTTCAATACAGTAGTAAAAAATTAATTGTTCATTGAAATGTCATTAAATGTCAGTAAATATAAATGATACAGTTCTAACAATATTTGACATTTACTGAAAATGTATAAAGTGTTCAAAACTAAAAAACCATGACACAATTATACTAGCCTGATGACAATCATGTTGATGACAGATTTATGTCAGGTTGTGTTGTCTTAAAAAGTAAATTTGACGAAACTAAGACATCTCAAACCATGTCATCTTTGCATTTAAAATGACATAATGACACTTAAAGAGGTGGTCCATTACGATATCATATTTTAAACTTCAGTTGATGTGTCATGTGTGTGAACATAAACAACTTCTCTGAATGTAATACGTTCAAAGTTCAACGCAAAGGGAGAGATTAGCTTTTACAGAGCTTAGCAAAGTCAAACAGTGAAGTTTGGGGACTAAAAAAAAAATACATCTGGGCTAGTGAGATCACAAATGCTCCAGGTTATGCGCATTCACCTTGCACATACAGAGCTTGTTCTGTTTCTGTAAGGACATGACACATAATTCTAAAAAAAAAATTATATATATATATATATATATATATATATATATATATAGCTAACATTTGACAAAGGACAGCTTCAAAATCTCTCCCAGTTCAGAGCTGGATTCTTGCTAAAACTCCTCCAGCAATATATATGAAGCTGTGGATTGTGAGCCACAACCTGTAAGTATTTTTATTTGTTAAAATTGATCTATTACATTGCACAGTTTCTATGTTGTTGCAATGACTTAAACAGTGATGTAAACAATGAGAAATGATGTTTGACATGTTAGCAATTTAGCTACAATTAATATCCGTCCAAACCACTGTAAACAGGCACAATCTTCAGCAGCGCTGCAGTGTCTCTCTATGCAGCCATGTTCTACAGCTCAAATATTTAAATCGCAAAAGATATGTGAATGTTTTATATTACTTACACATGCATATTCTGAATATTTGTGAAACTTTTGTGAAGATTTTATTTTAGAGAGTAAGAGTGAGATTCAGCTGTGTCCTCTGTGTCAATTTCTGTCTGATTCATACACAAACTGATAAGGCTAACAGCTACTCTGACTGGCAGTATTTACACAGAGCAAATTCACATGCCTGTAGGGGTGTGATGCTTTTCCTGGTGCCGTAGAGCCAATCCTTGAATAACAGCACATTATGTTTACTGATCAGTCAGAGCCTCGTGAGGGCAGGCCTTTCAGAGAAACTATATATGACAGTCATTTTCATGTTAGCTGAGTAGCTGTATATAATCAAAGTAAGATATATGAAAAATATAGTGATTTTCTACAAATGAAGCAGATATTGCTTTGCATCTTAAAAACACGACCAAGCCTTAAAAATACACACTGGACCACCCCTTTAATGACAACTGACATAACCATGCATGCAATCTCAGTCAAATTCATGAAGAGGCATGTCATGATTATAAAGATGTCACGGAAGCTTTATGAACATCCCTTTAAAAAAAAAGTGTTATTTTAATTTATGTAGTGTTTTGTTTTTTACATTATGATAAAAAAAAAAGTTTTTGTTTAGTGTGTGTGCTTGTGTGTTAAAGCAGGTAATACTTTTATTGTGTAAGAATGCACAAAACAATTCTATTTCAGATAAAAGTTTTTTTTTTTTTTTTTTTTTTTTTTTTTTTTTTTTTTTTTTTTTGTTGTATTCATCAAGTATCTTCAATAAAACCAAATCATAGAACTGTTCGGTGTTCCACTATTCAATAGGGGCGAAAACAAAGATTCAGTAATTGAATAGTTAACACTTTGTTTGAGGACTTAATTTAAAATGCAGCCCTAAAGGTATTCATAATGTATGTTGCAATGCATTTTATATTTGCATTGCAGTAAGTCATTTATACAGTACAAAGGAGAAACTGCAGAGGCTGAAAAACAACAACAAAACTTGTTTCACCTTTGCTTGTGACTGAGCTCCAGGATCCTCTGCACATCCTTCTTGGGCACAGCATCCTCATTCTTCAGTGACTGCGGAGAAACAACAGAGAGTGTGTGATGTGCTTGCTGATGCATTAATGATGCTATATGATACTGTATTATCAGTGTGTTAAAGTTCAAGCTGTTTTTATCTAACTGATTCGGCATGACAAATGCATCATATACTCTTAGATCTGTTCATCTGTAAAGACTTGACAACCGACTATATGCAGATTTTTTTTTCCCACATTTTTTTCTTTCAAAAAAGTCTGGAAAAACTGCGCTTCGGTGGGACATTTCCAAAGCATCTGTTTCTCTCCTCGGAGAAACATCAGTGAGATCAGAGGGAGGAAATCTGACTAATTCTCATTAAGCTTCATTTCCATTTTCTTCAATCGGCAAACAGCATAAATAATGCAATGCAAAACCTTGAAAGAAAAAGCTATTAAACCTTTCTCATTCACATATTTTCTGGAATTGTATGTCAAAGAATTCTGGCATTTATGAGAATTAAATGTTTCCCATTAAAATATGAACTGCGTTGAGTCTGCTGAGGATTAGAGAATCAGCTTTACACCATGTATTGATGGCATATATAAATTCAAGGTTTCCCCTTCGGGAGGGGAACTTCAATGCTATGTAGAAACTTCCACTATGGGGATTTCATCAGAATCCAATCATCTGAAAGAGTATATAAATGGGCCAATGAAATGCCAATGAGTCAGCATGCACATCTTACAATCAATTTGGAATATAAGCGCGGCACGTGCCAAGCTGAGGCATCCTTTTCATTTCATGAAACTTCTGGGAGAATCGATGAGTGTTGTTGACTGTTACGACAGAGAGAGAGAACGAGAAAGTAGGCTGCTTCTTCCGGTCCAGAGTGTGTGATACGTGGCGGCAGACGGTCGAGCTCGGTTTCTCACTTGCCTGGCATTCTTTGAGTCCGGTTCTCTAGAGCGGTATGTATTGTTGCGAATTTCCTAAAAGAGCAACATGGTCGTGCAGCGAGTCTTTTTTAAGACATCACTCCGACTGTGCATTTCTGGATGCCGTGGTTTCCTGTCTCCGAATGATGGGTACAAGGACTGCGTTTTATGTCTGGGGGTCCAGCATGTTGATGTGGTGCTCGCGGACAGTCCATGTCATCACTGCGGTGGCATGTCTGTTTGCTTAGTTAAGATGGGCACTCGGGCAGAGATGAAAATGACAGTGGAAGTAAATCTGCCGTCCTCGGGCTTGCGGACCCCTCTCTCCTCCACATGCTCCATCCAAGCTTCGAGTGAGAGCTCTCTCAGAGCCAGATCCCACACGGCCGCAGGCCAGGCTGCTTCCACCCTGCATGCTATGGCCACCTACCTAAGCAGGTGCGCTCACCCTCTTGGCTTGGCATAACTTCTCATCCGGGGCATGATAAGGTTCAGCGCTTTTATAAATTGATTGTAAGTAGCACAAACTAACCCCCCCCCCCCCCCCCCCCTTACTTTAGTAACTGGAATGTTCTCTGGATTTGTAGTTTTTGTCAGAAAACTTGTGGTCAAAAATGCAATCATGTAATTTTTGAATGTATCATATACATCACTAAACCCACAACACTGTTTATACACTGTAAAAAATGTCGGTAAATTAGCAGTTTTTCAAATTTTGTGAATCATTTTTTCATTTTTTTTTCTCGTTTATTTTACGTTTTAAATTGCATTATGGGACCTTAATCTTTCTTACAAAAACTTTTAACCATGAAATGTTTGAAAAGGTACTTTTATTAAGATTTTAAAGAGATATATTTTCTGGATTGGTGTTGTAAATTATCGTACACAAACTGCCAGAACATTTTCTGTTATTTTACAGTTAATTCTATATACATTATATATTTCATTCATTTATTTATTCATTCATTTTACTTCAGCTTAGTCACTTATTTATTAGGGGTTGCCTCAGTGGAATGAGCTACCAACTGTTCCTCCATAAGTTTTACGTAGTGCATGTCCTTCCAGCCGCAACCCAGTAACACCCATTCACAAACAAACACATACACTACGGACAATTTAGTTGATCCAGTTTACTTATACTGCATGTCTTTGGACTGCAGAGGAAACCAGGGCCCTAAACCCACATGAACATGGGGAAGAATATGCTAACTCTACACAGAAATTCCAACTGGCCTTGGCCCTCATCTTTTTTGCTGTGAGGCAACAGTGCTAACCACTGAACTACAATGCCGCCCTTTACATTTTTCTTATATATTATTTCAAACTACTAACATGTCAATAAGTCATTTTGTTAAACTGTAGAGTTGAATTTTCAACATTAGAAGTCGACTGAGCAGAGATCAAGGTCCCATAATGCAATGTATAACCCTAAATAAACAGAAAAAAGATTTGTTACAATGTTTATATGTGACCATATATACAGTCATAAGAGTCCAAAAGCTGTCACAAATGTCTATTTTTATAGTATTATCATCTGAAAGCTTTATATATAAGCTGTATAATTGTATCATTTTTAAAGGACAGGACGCTAGTTTTCATTAGAAACAAACAATTTAAAAGTATGGAATATTATCATTCAAAGTAATCTAAATGATTTTAAAGTTGTACAACTAAATTAAATGCTTAACATTCCGTGTTACTAATCAGAAATATATTTTTGTTGTTTTTCAGTTAGCATTTCTGTTTGGAGTTTGTATGTTCTCCCGTGTTCGCATGGGTTTCCTCCGGGTGTTTCTAGTTTCCCCCTCAGACCAAAGACATGCGCTATAGGTGAACTGAGTAAGTTACTATGAATAAATAGCCATAGTGTATAGAACAAAATCAATGCCGAAAGTCTTGAATTAAAAAGCTTGTTGAATATCACAAACTGAAAAAAATAATACACCGTATTAACAAGTTCTTGCATTTTAATGACTTGAATTCCAGGGTTTGTATTTTTAGGTCCTGAAATTTAACATAGCTGTTTATTTAAGATGTGAATATTTCAACTAAAAATATTTCAAACACGTTTTCATACTTAAAAATTCAATAATTCATATTCAATTTTCAGATTTCACTTACAAAATATTCAATACCCTTTAAAAATACGATGTATAATATTCAAAAGGTCATTTTCAGTTCATTTTATTTCAGTTCAAATATTCGCTTCCATAAATTCAGTGGATCAAATTCGACTGTTAAAATTCAACATTACATCCGGGAACTGCAGGAAAAGCAATAGATTGCAGATTGAAGATCGCCAGCTGCTCTAGCTTTCACCAGCAGGTGGAGATGGAATAATGTAAGATTTTTAACCCAGTAAACAGGCGAGAAAAAGGCTATTAAAGGCACAAAAGTAGCATTTAATATTAATATCAATGCTTTGGACATTATAAATGATAAAAAGTATGAGTAAAATGAGTAAATGAGGTTTTAGTCATCTATATTTGCCCTTATGTAACGGAAGCCAGCTGGTGATCGCGTAAATATCGGTCCGCGGATCCAGCGAAAGACGTTGTTCTGCAATCTTTAGCATCCTCGTAGCTTGTCTCCCATGCCGGCTCGCTCCCTGCACGGACCGGTGTCTTTTGATGAATATGATGTTACACATTGTCTATCTTTATTGACTCTTTCTTCCATAGACGCGAAGTATTATATTGACAGCTAAAGAATATAAACGTAAGAGAAAAAGGAGAGGAAATAGCCTATTATAATAATAATACAACATAGATAAACATTGACAGGGCTAAGAACAATTACGAACAAAGATATTCAAAAGCAGAGAGATTTTATGAGAATGTCACACAAAACAGTTTACTTGGAACTGTTAAACAGAGTTCAGGTATGATTTAAGGTTGGGTATGGATGGGGCGTGTAATTTAAAATAATTTAACATAACGTGCGAATGCATTAAAGGAGCGTCAGTTATTATTTAAGCGCAGCTATGTCAGGATTGGGATAGGTTATATAATTTTTATTATTTAAATTATGATTATTAATATTAATATTTTATGACATGTATTTGGGCTATTGCGCTTAAATAAGTCATCCGTGATTCTAAATTAATATTTCTATTTATCCTTTTTAGCTATCACTTTGGTATCGTCTTTCTCTTCTTTTTTTTCTAATTATTGGGGTTCTGCCACAGTTAAACGTTTGCAAAATGTCCAGATTATTGCTTTTCCTCTAAAATAGAGACGAAGCAGAAGGAAAATGAATGAATTGATGAATGAAATGATTGACGTTTTTATGCCTGTGATGTGTGGCTTGCACACGACAAAGTCGAACGAGTGGCCGCGAGCTCCGGTGGCCGGTCAGAGCCAGCGCCGCATATCAAACTGATTAAGAGATGCTGGATGGCTGCCAATATATGATAGGAATTCTTCCAAAGTTTCAGACGATATCTGGGCTTGTGCATAATAATGTAAAATTAAAGTGAAAGTCATGACACTTGGCCAAGCATAAGAATAGCCTACAACAGTGTTTCGATTATTAAATTAATCATTCATGACATGTCATGCTTGGGCTTATAAGAATAACACCTCGCTGTTTACCATTTCCGAAAGTGGAGCTGACGTCGGAGCGAAATTGCTTGTATAATTGTAAAAAGAGTGATGAATATTAATGGATTTCTTATATCTGTCATTTCTGATAATATAATTGATTTAACTAGTGTGAGCTTATGAGTATCCAACAATCATTTAGCAAAAATGCATCCAGAATCCTAAACCAATAACTTTGTCAAGCAAAAATTATGATTTTATAGGCTACTGATTTTTTTTTAAACAAGAAAAAAGAAACTATTAGCTACCCTAGCAATTGTTTATTTAAATATGATCATCTCAAAATATAAAATAAAAACATAATGGTTTGACTTTGTGAAATCATAAAACACACTTGCAGAAGAGAGTTAATAGAATAAATGAGCAAATACATTCTCTCCAGTAGATGGCGATTACAGCTCAGTAACCCCATGATGATGAACACTGAGCTGCTTTGCAGGAACCCCTCAACCACGCATTCTAAACATTAATCTTATGAAACTAGCTGAAGTGACAACTATATTAAATTTAAATCAGTTTA